TTTTTTTCTAAGGTAAGAATAATCTTTAAAAAAGAAAAAGAAATGGAGGTTGAAAGTAATTCAAAAAAATTAAATAAAAATTTTTAAAAAAATTAAAAAACAAAAATTCATCAAAAATAATCCCAACTTTCATTTTGTTGCCTAAAATGGGCAGTTCCGTTATCCCTCCGTTAGAAACTTAACGGTGACCCAAAACTGGTAAATTTCAATAAAGTTGGGATTATTATGCATCACAGTGAAAGGTGGGATTATTTTTGAAAGACCGAGTAAAGTTGGGATTATTTTGGGTAATTTTTCCTTATTTTAAAAATGTAAATCACCCATTTTTTTTTGAGAAAATAAATAAACCTCATCCCCATGGTTTTTCAAAACCGATCAAACGATTGCACGAGAAAGAAGTAAATTAAATTTTAATTACTTCGTATATATAGTTGTGGGAAATGATCGAGCTTTCACTTAGTATTTATATAAGTCATATGCTTAGTATAAAACTATAGCTACCTCTTAGTGCAATTTTCAGGAATCGAATGTAGGTATGTCCCTAAACACCTCAGTAAACCACATCCTTGCCCTGAGTTCTTGAAAGAGAATAAAAGACTAAAAGAGGAGTAAAACATTTAAAATGTATCAAAATAAGAATTTCATATTTTTATTCTACAAATAGAAGTTACAATGTAAATACAATATCAGTCATGTCAATATAATACGAAAACGTACTATTAAATGTTTACATGCAACATCACATTATCACAATGTAAACTCTTATTTTGAGGATAAAAACATGAGGCTTTTGTTTTAGAACTTTTTCTATGTTGAACTCTTATTTAAGATGATTTCTTTTCTTAAAAAATGGTAAATTACGGGACGTGCCTCAATTGGCAAGGGACATCAGGATTTTAGCCATGATTAATTTCACTTACAAAGTGTCGAATCCAAAGAGTCGCTACTAAGATTCAAACCCCCACCCTGTAGCATGTAGGTGGCAAACAAGACTCACCAACTGTATTTTCCAGTTGAGTGATACGATAATAGATTAGTAATACTATTTATTCATTGGTATTCTTTATTACTCCCTCCGTTCCTCATAGATCTTTCTAATAGCCATTTTTTTTTTGTCCACAATAGATCTTCTCATTTCATTTTTTAACAATTAAAATACCACAACTATCCCCACTTACTTTATTTATTACACCTCACCCACCTCATTTAATACACTCTATTTATGATAAACTTTCACCTTTTTTCAACTCTCCTTAAAAATCATCAAAAGTCAAAATGAGAACATCTTAGGGGGACGAAGTGAGTAATATTTTATAGTTAATCTAGTTTAGGCTGGTTTTAGTATGGGTCCAAGCCCATTAAGTCACTAGCTTAATTTTATTCTCTATATATTGTAATCTTTCATCATTATTCAATCAACCAGAAAGAATATCAAAAGCCTAATCTCTTGTCTCACTTTTTTCTAAGAGTCCGAAAATGCTCTGAATTTTCCACTCTTTCTTTACTTCCCTTTTTTGAAGCTTGAAGGATGCTTGAAGTTCTTCTCTATCTTATACAACATTCGTATCAATTGGTGCTTTCATTGTTTTGAATTCCAAATATTGCCTTTATCATCGCCAGATTATTGTGCCGCAGAGTAGCCGCGCAGCAATACGTGGAGATTTGAAACCCAATCGCATTTGACATCTTCCGCAATCATCCACAACTACTTTTTCGCCGAACCAATTTCATTTGCTCTGCCAAAACAAAAGAGGTACAGATTTGTTTTTGAGCAATGCTAGGTTCACAATTAGAACAAACTTCACAAACTTACTATTTATGAAGTAAATTCTCATTTTAAAATTATGTTAGACTACTTAATTTTTTAAATTGAAGTTCACAATAATAAATTTGTGAAATTTGTGATCATTGTATTTGTGAACCAAACATTTCTCTTGGATTTTTAAACAAAAACAATTGTTGCCAACTCACAAAGTCCTGGGATTTTTACCTTCATCCCGGATCGAGCAAATCAATGGAGGACGTTTTGGACCAACAAACCGAGCAAAGTTTCAAGCCGGAGGTGAACGAACCACAAAATGATCCTAATTTTGGTGGAGGTTTGATCGCAACTGCAATTGCTTGTTCGCTGTAGAAGTTTTGTTTCTTTTAGCCATAGAGATAGGGTCGCAGTTAGAGGTGGCAATCAGATCAACCGGATCGGTTCCGGGTTGGATTTTTTTGGTTCGGATATCTTTCGGTTATATGTTATAATCGGTTCAGTTCGGATCGGTTAAATTTCGGTTCGGATTTGATTTCGGTTCTATACATTTTTCGGTTCGGATTCGAGTTGGTTCAAATACGGTTCGGTTATAAATCGGTTCGGATAAATTTCGGTTCGAATACAATTAGAGTCGGATATATTTCAGTTTCGGGTCTAGTTCGGTTAAGGTATATTTCAGTTTCGGATCAAATATATTTTGGATATATATTATTTTTCTAATTAAAATTTAACTATTTGTGTTTCTTTTTATGTTTTATCACATTTATCAATCTATCATCAATTCAATACCTCATATTATTTTATATTGTTTTCTAGTTATATTATCTCTACCCTAAATAATCTTCTCTTTTTGACTTTTTAGTCATATTTTACAAATTTGGACTACAAATTATGAAAACATATATATTTAATTATGATATAAATTTAATATAATTAAATTGATTTTAAAATTTAGTTTTGAAATATCAAATTTTTCTCACATCTACTACTCCGTAATATACTTATGTACATAAAGGAAAGGATAAATTCAAATAGTCTTATGTAGATAAATTCAAATAGTCTTATGTTCCATTTGAATACAATGTGGTAAAAATTGAGTAAAATTGGGTGCAATTAAGTGAATTTTATTCAATAGAGTGCAAAATTTGTAAATTATTGAGTATATTTGGTTGAAAATAGAGAAAATTAAATTTAATAGAGTTAAATATAATTAATTTTACACCTAAATGTAATGGTATAGATCAAATTTGAAAATGATAACAGCAAAGGCTGCCGCTAGAGAGTCTTTAATGTTAACACTAGCATCTAATTTTATTGACTATAATTGAGTGAATTGGTTTGAAACTAATCAAATTAACTCTCAAATCAATAAAATTTATTGTAATGAGATGAAATTAGGACAAAATCTAGTTATTCCATACAATTCATCATATATTCCTTTCGTCCCAAAAAGAATATCACACTTCACTATTTAAAAATTATGGAAATTTTATTTCTTTGTGCGTTATCATTTATATGTATAACTTATCTTTAATTTCTACATATAAAAAATTTAAGGCATAAAATTTTGTACTTTTTTCAAGAAGATAATCAATTTTATGAGGGAATGAGCAACTAATGTAATTAGTTCAAATGGTAAAATAAAAGTAAAAATTTAAAAATATAATATGCTTATTGAAAGGCAAACATAGTTCTGAATTTATCGATTTTAGTTCTAATCGGGTTCGGATATTATCGGTTTCAAATATACTCGGTCTCGGGTATTATCGGGTTCGGATCTAATCGGTTTCGGGTTTAATCGGTTCGGATATTATCGGTTTCGGATCTAATCGTTTTCGGATTTAAATCGGATATGAATTATTTTGTTCGGTTTCGGTTCGATTCGGATCATTTCGGGTTTTCGGTTATAAATCGGATCTTCATTTTTCGGGTCATACCGGTTTCGGTTTCAGATATTTCAGTTCGGGTAATCGGTCCCGGTTCTGTTTTACCAGGTCTAGTCGCAGTACAGTATGTAGAACCAGATTGCATATTTCCATTTGTTTGTAAAAGGCTAAAATTCATTGTTGGTCCTTCAACTTTATGAGATGTGCATGATTAGTCATTCAAGTTTTAAAAGTCTAAGTAGCCTTTGATACAAATAGTTAATTAAAATATTTTAATTAATTACGGAGTATATTATTATTTAGTAGTTAATTATTATTATATATTAGTATTTTATAGATTAGGGTTTTTGCATGGGCCCGAGCCCATTAAGTCATCTAGGTGTAGCTCTCATCGTTATATATTGTAATCTCGTATCATTATCATTCAATCAATCAATAATCAGAATTCTCTTAAAAAATAATCAAAATCCTAATCTCTTCACTTTTTTCTCGGGGCTCGGAAACGCTTGAAGTTTTATATCTTTCTTTATCTCTTCTTCTTGGAGCTTAAAGAACGCTCGAAGTTCTTCCTTATCTGATACAATATTCGTATCAATTGATGCTCTCATTAAGAGGAACTTACCCAAAAAACAAAAAAATCTCAAAAAAACTGTTGTTGCAGCTGCTCTAACCAATTGCAGAAACCAGGCCCATATTCTTTGGCACTGATGAGAGACTGCTCCCACCACCGCCATGGCAGAGCACCACCATATAGCAGGAAAATCATCTATTGTTGCAGCCAAATTTGGCCGCCAGAGGTCTTCGTATTGCTTCCCAAACTCTGAAAATCACAAAGGCATCACCCATCCTAATTGGGGCATCCAATTCCAATTTCCACAGTCATGTCCACTAATACTTCTGCCGTCGTAATTTGATTGTCAAATTGCCTAATCGCGGTAGACAAATTGCAACCCAATTGATTTTCCAAGGCCACTGTAGCCATTGTCTTGGAAAATTAAAAACAATATTTATTACCACCAAAGAAATTGAGATTAATCCATATTATTGTGGTTAAGTGCCAACAATTTTTCCAAAGCTTCATTGGTAAAACAGCGCTACACTTTTGTTTGGTGCTTCTATCCCTTTCACAGGAAATTAATTTGCCATTATATTGGATTTCATGGATTTGGTGGGTGACGTCAGCCATAATTTGGGGTTTGTCGTATCCGAATTGCTGAGAGCATTCAGATTGTGCCTTTCGTGTACTAGTTTGAAGAATGCATAGCTTTACTCAATCGCTCACTCAAATGCAACAAGATTTTTCATGCTGAATGAAGGCCCGCCTCAAGCAGTTAGAGGCTTTGATTATGTGTACTTGTGCATTGGACAAACTTATTGATTTACTTGAGAATGTTCTATATGGCGAAATTGAGCATGATGAAGGAGTGTGCACACTTTACGATCACATAGACGGAATTATAAAGAATCTCAAGTCATTTCTTCTGGTTGAAGGTAAACCAAATTATGATTCTGACATATATGCAATCGACATAGAAATATCTTGCTCAATAAAGGATTTGGTTCGTGGTCCCCCAATTTTGCCGTGTTTGATTCCTTTTGAGTTATAAAATTTCAAAACAAACATGATGAACGCCATCCGGAACCTCATCAGTGCCCCACTTTCTCCACCCGGTTTGGCTCATATAGTCACCGTACAAAACACTAAGTCTCATGAAAAGGAGTCAAAGGTTGACTCAAGCTTAGAATCATATGTTGGGGATAACATGGATAGTGGGTCTGAACTCATAAATGCAGATGACGAGGTGTCCAAAATTGTGTGGGAAAAGTGATATTTCTGAAGATATTGTTAATGAGGATACCCTAGATCTTCCATCACGTGAATGTTATTTGCCGGTCAATGCCTCAACTTGTGTGGTCACTGCAGAATTTGCCCTTTTAGAAGGTGTCGACAAGGTGGCAGATAAAGATTGTATCCATGCCGATAACTCAATTTCGTTGGACACCATCGCGTTGTTTGACATTGTTGGTGTTGTCAAGTCTAAACACCTGGTTCCAAAGAAAATAGTTCGATAAATGTTTGGTCTTCTTTTTTATTTCTTCCACTATACTCCATCAGATAAGCTTCTTGAAGATTGGTCAAAAAATAAACGTCTTTTCTTGTTCACCACGTTCTCACATGTCCAAAAGCTTGAGTGGAAACCTCCACCTTGAGGACAAAGTGGTTTTTAAGGGGGTGGGAATGATACAGACAGTTAATTAGAATATTTTAATTAATTATATTTTTATTTAGTAGTTATTTATTACTCCATATTATTTATTAGTATTTTATAGATTAGGGTTTTATATGGGCCCTAGCCCATTAGGTCATGTAGGTGTGGTGTCTCATCTCTATATATTGTAATCTCGTATCATTATCATTCTTTCAATCAATAATCCAAATTTTCTTAAAAAAACCATTTTTGCAGCTGCCCTAACCAAATGCAGAAACCAGGCCCATATTCTTTGGCGCCGATGAGAGACTGCTCCACGCCACTGCCATGGCAGACCACCACCATATGGTAGAAAAATCATCCCTTGTTGTCGCCAAAGTCAGCCGCTAAAGGTCAACGTATTGCTGCCCATATTTTGAAAATCACGAACGCATTATCCATCTAAATTGGGGCATCCAATTCCGCAGTCATTTCCACTAAGATTGCCGCCGCCACAATTTGATTGTCAAATTTCCTGATCGCGGTTGACAAATTGCAGCCGAATTGATTTTCTGTGGCTGCCATAGTGTTCAATCGCCACTGTGTTGGAAAATTAAAAACAAGATTTAATACCACCGAAGAAATTGAGATTATTCCACATCAATTGTTGTTAAGTGCCACTAATTTTTCCAAAGCTTCATCAACGAAACAGCATTGCACTTTTGTTTGGTGCTTCAACCCCTTTCACTTGCAATGAATTTGGCATCATATTGGATTTCATTAATTTGGTGGGTGACGTCAGCCATAATTTGGGGTTTGCCGTATCCAAATTGTTGAGAGCATTCAGATTGTGCCTTTCGTGTACCAGTTTGAAGAATGCATAGCTTTACTCTATTGCTGGCTCAAATGCAACAAGATTTTTCATGCCGAATGGAGGCCTGATTCACGCGGTTAGAGGCTTTGATTTTGTGTACATGTGCATTGGACAAAGTTATTGATTTATTGGAGAATGTTCTATATGGCAAAATTGAGCATGACGAAGGAGTGTTCACACTTTACGATCACATAGATGAAATTATAAAGAATCTCCAGTCATTTCATCTTATTTAAGGTAAATCAAATTATGATTTTTATGTATATGCATTCAAAATAGAAATATCTTGCTCAATATAGGATTTGGTTCGTGGTCCCCGAATTTTGTCGTGTTTGTTTCCTTTGAAATTACAAATTTTTAAAACAAACATGATGAACGCCATCCGGAACCTCATCAGTGCCCCACTTTCTCCACCCCATTTGTTTTTTATGGTCACCATACAAAACACTGGGTCTCATGAAAAGGAGTCAAAGGTTTACTCAAGCGTAGAATCACATGTGTAGGATAACATGGATAGTGGGCCAGAACTCATAAATGCAAATGACGAGGGGTCCAACGTCGTGGGGAAAAATAAAGGTGATATTATTGAAGATATTGTTAATGAGGATACCTTAGAGCTTCCATCACGTTAATGTTATGTGACGGCCAATGCCTCAACTTGTGTGGTCACTGCAGAGTTTTCCCTTCTAGAAGGTTTTGACAAGGTGGCAGATGAAGATTGTATCCATGCCGATAACTCAATTTTGTTGGACATCATTGTGTTGTTTGACATTGTTGGTGTTGACAAGTCTAACACCTGGTTTCAAAGTGTAGGACCTTAGGTGCTACCAACTCTTCTAAAACCAATTGGTGTTAGAAGAGGCGCATACCCTAGCCTTATAGTGCATTCAGCACATAAGCGCCCACGACATTCGATTGTGACTTGGCCCACATAGCCTCCGCCACGGGACAATTGCTGCACACATGGCCAACAATCTCCCCCTCAGCAATTGCTCCCGCTGGGAATCGAACTCGTGACCTTGGCTCTGATACCACTTGTAGGACCTCAGGCGTTACCAACTCTTCTAAAACCAATTGGTGTTAGAAGAGGTGCATACCCTAGCCTTATAGTGCATTCAGCACACAAGCGCCCACGACATTTGATTGTGACTTGGCCCACATAGTCTCCGCCACGGGACAATTGCTCACACATGGCCAACACAATGAAAATAGTTCGATACAAGTTTGGTCTTCTCTTTTATTTCGGCCACTATACTTCATCAGAGAAGCTTCTTGAAGATTGGTCAGCAAATGGACGTCTTTTCTTGTTTAACACGTTCTCACATGTCCAAAAGCTTGAGTGGGAACCTCCACCTTGAGGATAATGTGGTTTTTAAGGGGGTGAAATGATACGGATAGGTAAATAGAATATTTTAATTAATTATATTATTATTCAGTAGTTATTTATTATTATTTATTAGTATTTTATAAATTAGGGTTTTTGTATGGGCCTGAGCCCATTAGGTCATGTAGGTGTGGTGTCTCATCACTATATATTGTAATCTCGTATCATTATCATTCAATCAATCAATAATCATAATTCTCTTTAAAAAAATAATAATCATGATCCTAATCTCTTCACTCTTTTCTTGGAGCTCAGAAACGCTCGATGTTTTCCATTTTTCTCTACCTCTTCTTCTTGGAGCTTGAAGAATGCTCGATGTTCTTCCTTATCTGATATGATAGTCGTATCATCCTTAAAATATTCATCAACCCTCGAAATGCGGTCCTTTTTACGGTATACGTTAAAAGATAAACGAATTACTACTTCGATATATATAATACTAAGTACTTGTACCTATACGTTGGTGATTGTTTTTTATGTATAGGGAATTAATGGGTTTCTACAATTCCAATCAAAGTTTTGTGTTATTTATTATACAAATTGAACCCCTTTGAAAATAAAATTATCCCTAGTATTTACAGTATGAGTAAAAGACCCAGTGTGCTGCGATGCTCAAAGGACGGGGCTAGCGTCGGGCACCCATTGCAAGTCGGAAGTTGCATCAGGTACTGAAGCAAAAGTTATATATATGGGGTTAGTTCCATTTGGCACCCATTTCAGGTCGAAAGTTATATATATGGAGCTAGCACTCTATTTAGCTTTTAACGTGTACCGTAAAAAAGACTACATTTGGAAGATTGATGAATACTGGAAGGACTACTTATGAACTTTTGTAACTTGAAGGACTGAATTTAGAGGTTGTTGAACACTTGACTATTTAAAAACTTTTGAAATTTGAAGGACCAATCATGCAAATCTCACAAAGTTGAAGGACCAGTAGTGAATTTTAACCTCTGTAAAATAAGATCTTTTTTATTTGGGTATTTGGCCACAAAACAATAAAAAAAGGGACCATTAGACCATCTCCAATTGTCCCTCATTTTCAAAGATTTGTAGCACTTTTCTTCCAAGAGTCCTTCAATCCCAAACTCTTTGCATTTTCACCCCCTCTCTCTTCTCCTCAAATGCGTATATGTGTTTGCACTGTAGCGTGCTGTAATTTATTTTTCACTCTTTTCTTGTAGCTGATTTTAAATTACTCCCCCTCTAGACATGATGATTTTGATGATCGGTGCAGTAAAAAAGGTGGTAGCGAGTAAAGACGACGAGGGAAGCTTCATAGTCCAGAATCGGACAAAGCTCCATCATAAAGTCGATTGTAAATTACTCTCCTTTTTCTTTTTTTTTGTTTTAGTTTGTTTTTTAGATTTTCGAGCTTATTTCAATTTTTATCCAATTTTTTATACATCTTATTTCAATTTTTAATTGGAAAAGTTTAAAAAAATATTAGAAAATGAATATGTTGTTGTAAGAATAATATTTTGAGTTTGTGTTTAGTGTAATGGTTGGAGATGAATTACTATTTGATTTGATATTTACTACATTTTGAGTTTCAGTTTGGTGTCTATTGTTGGAAATGGTCTTAGTTCCAATTGTTGAATCCAATACTTGCTGCCCAAACTGGTAGATTGGAAAATGGGCCTTAGTTTTCTTCCCTTGCCTAATGAGAGGTTGATTATCTACAAGATAAGCTTAAATCTCAGGCCTTGCCGCATATCAATAACAAATAATTGCCAATTTTCACTCCAGCGGCAAGTATGATCTAATTTGATTTTTAAATCAGAGTATTATTTGGTGCAACAAGATTTTTCATTCCCATTGGAGGCCTAATTCGCACAGTTGGAGGCTTTGATTATGAGGTAATTGTGTATTGAGAACAAATATATGGGTGCTATCAGCAGTCTCATTGGCACTCTTTTTCCTCCACCAAATTTGTTCCCTAGGACTAAAGGCACGGTTGTCTAGATAATGGACTATACTGTGGAGGACTTAGATGAATCAAAGGAAGCAAGCGATAAATCTCACAAGCGATAAATCTCACATCAGGGAGGATGATGATAGCAAGTTTGACATCGTTGGCAATCTTTGTGGTGCTATTGATGCAGATGAATTTCTTCTTTGGTTCAGCACGTTCTCTCCGATCTAAGAGCACGAGTGGGAGCCTCCACCTTGAGGACAAGATTATTTTTAAGGGGGTGAGAATGTTAAGGGTGGTGAAGCAAGATATTTTATAAATTATTATTATAGGTAAGATATTATTTATAAGGTATTATTTAAAGTTAGTTAATTGTTATTAAGGAATAATATATTTGTTAGGTTATTAATTAGATTCCTAGTTTATTTAGTTTCCTTTTAGAGTTTGGAATCACGCAAGGTTTTAGAATTCTATTCTATATATTGAGATGCTTGTACTTTGGAATTCAATCAGTCAATAAAGAACATTACTCCCAACTCTTATTCTCTCTACTCCTCTTCTCTTTGCCTCAAATTTTTCTTGGAGCTTGAAGAACGTTTGAAATTCTTCCTTATCCCGATAAGATATCGTATCAAAGTTAAGGACGATAAAGTAGGATATTTAATAAATTATTATTATTATTATTGTTACTATTATTATTATTATAAGTAAGGTATTACTTATAGTTAGTTAATTATTACCTCTCCGTCCCAGAGTATTTGTCCACTTTTGATTTTTTTTTGTCAAAATTGGTAAATGTTGACCTCAAATTAAATAAAAATGATATTAGATATTGATACAAAAATAATTTTACTACATTTATTATATCAAATATTTTCAAAATATTATTTTATCTAATTAATATACAATATATATTTTATTTAATTGTATGTCAAAGGTAAAAAAACAGTTGACGGAAAAATGTCAAGACTAGACAAATACTCAAGGATGGAGGGAGTATTAGAGAATAATATGTTTGTTAGGTTACTAATTAGTTTCTTAACTTATTTAGATTCCTTTTCGAGTTTGGAATCTCGCAGGGTTTTAGAATTTTATTCTATATATTGAGATGTTTGTACTTGCTGGTGTAAAACCACGCAAATACTAAGTCTGAACAAGCGAAAGGTTGTAGGTGGGAACAACGGTAACCCGATTAGTTATTAATATTATTGAGACTCTTTACAAGTTTACAAGCCGTGTGGATTATTTAAAGCATGCCCTCTTAATGAGGCTTTTTCTCTTATTTATAAGAATAAACAAGCACGTCTCATCGCTATTGTTCATCTCAAGTCACTCGTTCGGCTAGTCTTCAATTGACCAGTCTTCGTGCCTTTTGCGGATGAAGTCGCGATATCCCAATTCTGGCCCCTAACATTCGCTCGGTCAGACTACCGGGATTGACCAGGTCTTGTGGGACCAGACTTAGATACCTTTTGGGCGGTTGCGAACCTACTGGGTGATTTCAATGGGTTATACCCATCAGTACTTTAGAATTCAATCAATCAAGAAAAAACACTACTCTGAGCTTCTATTCTCTCTTCTTCTTCTTCTTGATCGTTCGGCTTCTATCTCGTTTCTCAACCTCTTCCTTTTCTCTTTGCCTCAATTTCTTCTTGAAGCCTTAAAAATGCTCTAAGTTCTTCCTTATACCAATTAATATGGATAATAGAAAATAGAAAATAAATTTTCGGCTCTTTAAAGGTAACTATTATCAAATTTTATTATATCCTAAAGTTTCTTTTTTAGAATCGAGTATATATAGACTTGTTAAAAATTGACGCGATCGGTTTTTTACTTGAGACTCGACCCAAAAATACAGGGTTTAGAACAAAGATTTGTTGATCGAACCCAATCCCAAACTGACTGACCCACTAACATAAGAGTTTTTCAAAATCATATACTTTAATATGAAAAAATGTATTAAAAATATAGTAATATTTTTATTTTTTATTACTCATTTTTAGCATATAAACTTATATTTTCAAACAAGTTTTTAGTGATATCATATAGTTATCTTACCTTTTATTCAAAAGTGGTACACATTTAACTTTTTATATTCGTCATAATATTGTTAAATATATATAAAAAATAATTAAAATTTCAAAGTAAAATATTCTAACAGGCGTAATGTATATATGTATTTTGATATTTTATTATTAATTTAGTGTAAAATGTTAGTGCTAGAGCATAAATTGTACTCGTAATATTCTAAAAATAAGTTTCATAATTTGTTGGGTCAACTGGAATCCCATCACACTCTTTCATAAATATGAAGTTTTCAAATTCTAACCTAAACTCTATCTAATTCAAACCTGATGTGGCCAAACTGGAACTCAATCTCATCAAGTGATTTACTAGCTCTAATACAATATAGTCACTGTAGTATATCTATTTCAAAAATAAAGGGTCGCTATGAGAGCCAAAAGGGTATAGTCCATCAACAAGAGAAGCTCTCCATTTGTGCCAAAGTAAATAATGGTCAATATTGGGATCAGTATAGTTTTTTTTTAAGGGAATCACTATACTCCCATCGTTCTTAATTTGATTACAAATTAAGAGTTACGAGTCAAAACCTCTCATCTTTTGAAATCATTTTATTTATAAATTGGTACATCAATAACAAATAAAAATTACATGTAAAAAAATTAAATTAGAAGTTCTATAAAACGAGGAGTGACACAAATATTTTATTTTATCAAATATTCAATGAAAAATAGACAAATAAACAAAAAATCATCAAAAGTTAGAAAAGGATTATAATTTATTTTGGAACGTAACAGTAGTTATTTACTCCGTATGACGATATATGTGGATTGTATAGTTAAAAGAATACTCCGTACGCCGTATTTTTTTTGAATGCCCGTACTCCGTATTTATGAATCAAAGAAGTCTTCGTTATCGAGTATTCGAGTGTCTAATTTGACACTATTTACCTAATTACTTATACAATAATTTGTTATAATCCATACGATTTATTGTACGTTTACGATAATTCGATCCTAATAAATGATTCTTATCCTTATAATAATAAATGAACTTTCCCACTAGCTTGATGGTAGGAAACCCACTCTCTAAAATTAATGCGATTGGATGTTCACCCAGATTCGAGCCTTACTAAAGGCAGAGGTGTTGGCTCTTCATACGTTATTAGGTTGAGAAAATGTATGAACAGATTTACAAATACTACATTATAATAAATTCAATAGAATTCAAAAATAATAATAACGCCAAAAAGCTCGTGTACCTCATGTAGTTTGGAAAATATGTACCTTTGTTTTCAAAACTTATTTCTAAAATTCATGTGTTTACAAAATCTTGCACATGCACCCCCTCTAATTATTTTCCAGTCACTTTTCTTGCAAAAAGGTGATATTCACGAATATTTTCCTAATCATAAGGGGCACTGGTGCTCATTTATAATTTGAGGGATGCTAGGGGTACACCAAAATTGTATCCCAAATGTACACCACCCTCTTCATTACCACTCATTTTTATTTATTTATTTTTTATTTTACATGCCAAAATATGTGGCAATGGAGGGGGTGGTGTGCATTTGGGGCACACTTTTGGTGTACCCCTAGCATTTTTGTTATAATTCTCCATTTATTTTTTGTTTTTCTCTTTTTCTCTATTTGTTTCTTTTATTTATGAAGGTTTTGTTTAATTTCTTTTTAATTTTTTATAATGTTCTTAAAATTTGAAATTGTTTTTATTGAAATAAAAAATAATTAACATTTACAACATTTATACGTCTCAAATTAGTTTATTGTTTATTTTTCAAAGAAATAAAATATACGGAGTAAAACCTTTTTTTGGAGCATCAAACAATAAGGAATAAAATATAAAATAAAAGAAAAAATTAAAATGAATTTCCATTTTTTAAACATCCCAATGCTAAAAATTTTTTAGAGGTTCCAAAAAATTTAAATTATATTTATATGCTTCAATTTTTTTTCATTTTGTTTTTCCATACTCGTATTTTTATTTTTTATTCCAGGTTTTCTTTTTTTAACTTTTATTTTTTTTAATTCTATGAATTAATGTTTAACTTGAGATAGATGGAGTATATGTTAATTTTTTTCATTTTTTATATTTATTCCAAACACATAAAATTTTGATTTTTTAAAAATATTAAAAAAGAATTAGAAAATAAATTTTAAAAACTTTTCTTAGAAAAGAAAAAATAGATGAAAAAGAGTTAAAAATTAAAGAATGTCGTAGGGTTTGTCATTAAACGAGCTCATTCTTGTTGGACACATAATTAGATCATGGTCTTGTAGCTATTATAAATAGTAGATCTATGTGTAATCAAATCATTCAAGTTTAGATGTAATAATATTTTTACATGGTATCAGAGCCAAACCCTGACAGCATACCCTACTTTGCTCTAGTTTGTCACGCTTCCACCGCCCCAGTCGCCCTGTTTGTCCAGCGACATAGGCATCATCATCGGCATCACCATCTAATCTCTTTATTAATTGTTGTGTAATTGTTGAGACTATAGATCTCTGCCACGAAGTCCGCCCGAGTCTTAAATTGAAGCCGTCCGTGCCTTAGTCTGAAGTTGTTGTTGTCCCCCTTTGTTTGATATCTACGTCGTTGTGGTAGTGCGTCTGTGCATTGCTGCTGATAGACGATAGCCATAGCCACGGGAGCCCATCGTCGATCGAGGCCCTGCTCATGCAAGTCGTAACTAGAGCTGGCAAATTGGTCGGTCAGATCAGGTTCAGGTTTGGTTAGTTCAAGTTCCGGTTATTTCGGGTTCGAGTTAATTCAGATTTGGGTTGAGAACTGTATGTTCATGACCCACTTTCGTCGGGTTCGGGTCGACCCAACGGGTTATGACTTTGGTTTTTAAAATTTTTAAATTCACATTAACACTTACATTTTCTAATTAAATAAATTTAAAATATCAAAAAAATGTATCAAATTTATAGAATTATTTTATTTTAAATTTTGAAGTAATTTTTAGATATGTAAATCAATATAAGGAATTTAAAAATGCTTAAATTTTGGCTAAAAGTAAGATAATTATGCGATATCATTAAAATTTTGTCTAAAAAAAATTGTACACTAAAAACAAGTAGTAAAGTGTATGATTTTGAAAAATTCTTACTTTAGCAGGTCGGTCAGGTCGGGTTCGGGTTCGGTCGGATTTGACCCATTTTTAGCGGGTCATTTTGGGTTCGGTCAACTTTAGGTTCGGTCATCAAAACCTTTGTTCAAAACTCAGTGTTTTCAGTTCGGTTTTCGGGTC